CTCCAGCTCATTGGTTCTCCCTAGCTGTGTGAGGTCAGCAAGACCAGTTATCATTACTCCTCTTGTCATGCAAAAATTGATGTGCAGGGTGATTCAAAACAGAAAGCCAGGCAGTTCAACCCTCAGTTTCTTCAATCTACAAATTCTAGAGCTTAAACACAAGTGATACTTTCCCAGTGTTAAGATCTTTGAAGGCACCAAAGTTCTATGAAAGATTCTTTCTGAGACTTCTGTGTCCAGTAGAACTGCTTTGCTAAAAGGCAGTCAGGGAAGTTACTGTAGGAGCTGCTGGCTGGCAAGAACTCCAGTCCTAGAAAATAGCGAAGGAAAGCCAAGCTTTCCTCTGTCCTTCCCTTGCAGCTTCAGATGGTCAGAACCCAGCCAGTCTGGTAGCTAGGGAAAATAAACCTAAGTTTCCCCTCTTGTTTTGAGTAGCTATCAAAAGGTACTTAAAAGGGAAGTAAGTGAATGATATTTGGAGGGGAATACCCTTTGGGCCTTTGTTTTTCAGTTCATGTGAACTGGCTAATTATTTTTTAACTTTTAAAAACCCCTTACTCATGGAGTTCATGCCCACTTCAATCAGCCTAATCAGTGGCTGAATAAATAGCACTATTCCTACATAAAAATAAAAAATATATATAAATAAAAACCCCTTACTCATCCAACTCATAGGGACAAAAAGCAAAAGGCTACATGATTGGCTTTCTGGTTTGGTGCCAAAGGAGTGATGATGATGATATCTGAAGTGGGACCAATTTTATGAAACGGGCTTTCTATGAAAGTTGCTTTCTACTTTACACTGTTCTCTAGTGTTGGGAGTTTTTCATGAGTATGTATGACTAAATGAGAAGTTCATTCCTCCTCTTCACTTCGTCTACTTTTATTTTGAGATAAGCCTATTGACCCTTACCTGTAATCATAATCCTTTTCAACAGCTTGTAACAAAAGTACTACTATTTACAGAGTGTTTGCTGTGTAGAAGGCAAAATGCTCAAATCTCCATCTTACTTGTTTCTCCTTGGGATTATGAAGGTAGAAACACCACCTTCTTTTTTTTAACAGATGCAGAATTTAAGTCTTGGAGAGATTCAACTAACTTGCTCAAGGTCATAGAGTGTGGAAGTGATGAAGCCGGGACTCGGATTCAGGTAGAATTTGGAACAATCTTCTGACTAGAATTACTACTACCAGCCTCTGCTGCCAGTTATCATATAACACCTCATCCAACCCCTTCTTTGCTTAAAGTCTATACAGCCTCCACTCTGGGCAGCATTAACTCCTGGAGAATACAACGTGAGCCTCTTAGCATGTCATCTCCAAGTCAAGCTCTAAAGCATTCATCCATGCTCTGATTATAAATCTACAAATATTAGCAAGTCCTAACATTTGCCTCAAAGCAATTTTAGATACAACTTCAAAAGAAAATACCAGGTGGGCACGTAGTTCTGAAAGCTTCAATGACTTGTCCAGTGGCAAAATAATATGCCCGACAACGCTGACTAGCTTTTGAGCTTTCTACATGTTTCAGGTATGCCAGCTTCTTTCATCCCTCCCTCTGGCCTGGCGGTATTGCGGGGTATACCCTTGGCCCTGTGTAGTGAACACCTCAAATCTCTCACAATATCTATGGCTCAAACAATTCATCACTAGCACATATGTTCCATTAGATTCATTTACTTGTTTGACTTGCTTTCATAGTTGGTGACTTTCTCTAGAACAGAGTATAGAAAATGAGCTTAGCCTTAGTGAGGAAACTGTGGTGAGTGTGACAGAGGATGGAGATGAACAGAAAGAAAGAATAAAGAAAAACTTCATTAAATGGCAAAAGTGTGTTTCCACTGCTTCCAGGATTTCTGCCATACTGAATCAATGTTTATCAATAACTAGTCATGATACTAGCAGGAGAGATAAACGGTAATCAGGAGAGAAATGGTAGTTTGTGTGGGAGGAGAAAGACGAGGTGATATATATAGGTATATAATATAGATAACTGAAATAAAAAGAGAAGAAACTCAAATTGGTCCCCATAATGTGGAGAGAGAAGTAACTGGAAAAAGAAATAAATGGGAAATTAGAGAAGTGCACAGCCAAGAGAAAAGGCTAAGGAAAATTGCACTATAAGAAGAGACAGATTCATGAAAAAGAAACACCTCTACACACACACACACACAAACACACACACACACATCTCAGGAAAGGAAAACTAAAGAGGTAAACAAAATAAAAGTATCTGGTCATTAAGAAGCAAGCCAGAAACAGGAGTAAAATGTTCAAAGAAATGTCGGAGTAAAATGACTCAGAGGAAGTAAGAATCAGACAAACACAGACATCTGGCTCTTTCCAACACTTTGGCCTAGAAAGGATGACAAGGAGAGGGCCTATTTGAAGAACCAGGATCCACTTGGCTTTATTTGGCTCTCTGGAGGACAAGGGAATGCCAATGTGTTTTTAGATCTTGTCCTAGTGCTTCACAATGACATAACAGTCACAGAAAACAGATGGGGTCAGGATCTCCAACCCAGCCTTCACATACATTAGCTCCAAAATCTCCCTCCAACTTCCTCAGTTAAGGTCTAGGAACAGCAGTATTACATAGATGAGAAAGTTGGACCACAGAGAGGTTATGAGTGCCTCAGAAAGTTCCAGAGTCAAGTTCCCCCTAGACAAACTGGTACATTGTACTTAGTTAATATACAATGTGGGCATGAAACTGAAAACAGAGCCCCTGATCTTCCTCAGATTTTTCTGGGTGCTGCTTGCCTGGTCTAGACCAACTTTCCCCAAATGACCTCTGCCCAGACAAAGCCTTTGAATCCAGGACTTGCCTCATGAAAGTTATGAGTCAGGGTTCTAAATGTGAGGGGCAGTGGCTAAGGAAGGCCTGCAAAGAGCCATTTGTGACATCATAGACTTGACTATCCCTGGTAGTTGCAAAGATGATGACAAGCATCACTGGCTACAATGTATCACTTGTGCTGCAAGATGTCAGCTTAAGAACTGGCTCGACAGAGTTCTAGTGCTGTATAATGTAGGACAAGTCATTTTGCCAGTGCAGTACCAAGTTTCTGTTAAAGCAGATACCAGATTTCTGTTGATGATGCTAACAAAAGCAAGTAATCACAACAGCAATTAAAACTATTATACACCTCTTATAATGTTGTTGATAGGAGCAAGTGAGCCCATGTGTGAAAGTGCAGGCATATGTGAACTATTTTGTCATCGTCATTACAGTCATCAGGCACTCAAATGTCTAAATATTTTTTCTCATTCTCTCTATTCTTCCACTTCTGCCTCTCAAGATATTAAGACCTAATAACATCATGGGCAGAGAGAGAGCAGTGATTAAGCTGTGTGAGTTGCATGCAGTTGATCCTGGTTTAATCCCTGGCACTGCATATGTCCCCACCGCCCAGCACCGCCAGGAGTGACCCCTGAGCACAGAGTCAGGAGTAAGCTTCCTTGGACTTCATTGGAAATGGTCCCCAAATACCCCCACTGTTAAAAAATATATAAGCTGCTAAGATCTAACTTTCAGAAATATCCTGGATTGTTATGCCTCACAATGTGTCCCATACTGGATCCCAAGTGTTTTCATGGGTATAATTTACCTCAAGTATAAAATTCCTTTATACAGTGAGATAACATCTTTAAGACTGCAGATCTTTAAGATTCCTTTAAGATTCCAGATCTTTAAGGTTCCTGGAGAGAAACTGTAATAAACTGTCCTTATCCAAGATCATGGTGTCCTATTTCCTACAACTACCTTGTCAACCTTCTTTCAGCATGTTGATTATGGCACTGATAGTGTCAAGCAGCACTGTTCTGTTGGTCATCCTATTTTTTACTAATATTTAAATCTCAGTATAACCCCACTTCAGAGGGAGCTGGTGACGCCAGCAAAGAAACCAAAAAACTTATGGGAGGGGAGGAAATGAGAAAGTCACCTGGTGGCCAACCTTTCTGGCTGCATTTTGTCCCATAATTGGAAGGACTGGGTGTATTTCTCAGAAATTTCCACCTTTAGATGAATCTGTTATGGTTTGGCTTGCATGTAATGAAGCTAGAATTGCATGTGAAGCATTCTTGATCACAAGTCATCTGCAGGAATATCTGGGACATGATCTTCTTTTACAGATGAGGAACTATGAGTCTAGGGCCAAATTTTATTTTCCTTTTTTGAGACAAGAGTGTGCACTTTGTGCCTTAAGCATTGTATGTCTTAAATGAGAAAAGTGAATAGTCAAAAGTCCCAGGTCACAATTTGCACTAGATATCTTCATCAAGGGGGTTGGGGGTCCTCAGAATTACTTTCTCTACAGTCCCTATTATGCACACTATTGACTCACCACTTTTGCAAAACCAGGCATCACATCATTCTGATCATTCCCAAACCACTTTTCCCCCACTCAAATAACCAAATGTTTTCCAGTATTAATCACTTGGTAAAACTTGACAGGGGTGGTCCTATCGGTTGCCTGTTAATTCAGGAATTAGCAGAAAGGCATTGAGAACAATACGTATTTCTTTCTATGATCTCTACTATAAAACTGATATACAGACCCTTTATATTGTCTCCTCTCCTACCACTGACCCTATTATGCTGCCACAGGATACACCAGGATGCCCCTCTGTCCATAGTAGGGTGATGAAACCTCTGCAAACCACATGCCAGTCTATGCCAGCTCACTCTTCCCATTTTAGTTTTTATCAGTCAAAATGTCGGTGAAACAGGAGACAGCACTTGTTTTGATTGTGTTTCTTTTCTTTTATAAAGCACAAATAACAAAACTTAAAATATAAATATACAGCTTTGTGACAAATAGAAAAATATACAATAATCTTGGTCACTGTCCAGCAGGAACATAATTCATTATGTATAGAGTCAAAGACCACAGGGGGGGAAAAATTCTTTCTTCCTAGTTCCAGGATCCTTTCAAACAGAGAAAACCCCCTAATTCCACAAACAAACTCTTTTCGAGGTCATTTAAATATGCCAGTGACGACTGTCTCATTCCTATACAAAAGCCAAAGAGTTTGAAGTGAACTAGAATGCAACCCCCCACCTCATACAAGTTGATATACAAACATATAAGTTACTTTATCAGATTACAAAAATACATCAGATTTTATCTATAAATTTGTATCAGGTAATAAGTTACTTACAAAAAAGAAAAAAGGAAATAAAAGAAAAGTTCATGTGCGTTGCTCTTGCTTCAAGTTCAAGTTTGCGGGGAGCGCAGCGTCCTGCGTCGTTAAAGCAGTGACATCACCTTCACGATGGCAGGTCCCTAGGTCGTGCGCAGATACCAGCGTCCCCAGAATTTTATCCCAGTGCGTGAAATAAGGGGCAAAGTTGCAGTTAAAGCGAGAATGATGGAGGTCGTGGTGAGCCACACCGCCATACCACCCGAAAGGGACCAGTCTGTGCGTGGACCAGGGGAAGTCGTAGCCTGAGTGGTCCTCCACCGACAGCCAGATGTTGACGACGTGGAAGACCAGGACGGTGAGCGGGTGGCACTGGAGCAGCTTGGTGTTCACTATGTCGAAGAAGCCCAGGGAAAAGAGCTCCCAGAAGCTCATGTACTGCGTGGCCAGCGCGAAGGAGGACGTGTTCTGGTGGTGGACCTTGTGGAATGCGCGGTACAGCCAGGGCACCCGGTGGTGCAGCACGTGCCACAGGAAGAACTCGGTGTCGAAGAGCAGCAGGCAGAGCACGATGTGGCGCAGCAGCTCAAGAAGTTCGGGGGCTTCGGCGGGCAGGAGGCTGGGCCGACCGGTCCAGTGGAGCAGAGTCATGGGGAGCACGAACACCACGTGCTGGTAGAGCGTCAGCCACAGGCAGGGCAGCAGCTGCCGTGGAGAGGGCGTGAAGTCGGGGTGGATCTTGTAGCGGCGCAGCGCGGGCACCCAGGGGCTCAGGACGTCCAGTACCACGAAGGGCAGGCAGCACCCTATGTAGGTGGTGATGGAGAAGATGACCCCGAATAAAGGAGACTGGAGGAGGGCGCCGTGGGTCCTCAGGCGGTCCCATAGGGGCTGCAAGAGGAGCTGGCCCGAGCTGCAGACGACCAGGAGCTCAGAGCCGTTGCGGGTCCCCATGGTCAGACGGTGTCCACAGCTGTCTGCGGCTCGCCCGGGACTCGCCGGCTTTTAAGCTTGCGGCCCCGCCCCCAGCGTGATGTCAGTGCCCGGCTGCGCCAAGCTTGCCTCAATCAGCAAACTCCCAAAGTTGCCCTCCGGGCTCGAAATGCACACCTGCATCCGATCGCCCTTTAGAGATGCGCGACCCGCAGCGCCCTGGATAACTCCTTAGAGGCGGGCAGAAACTACTATTTGATTGTATTTTTTTTAGCTGACAACTTCCCTGAAGCTTTTCAGAGAGATTTCAAAAGACAAATCGGTGCCTGCGTGGCCGCCACCATCCTAAGAGAATATGTTTACTTACCACCGCGAGAAAGACTTCCTTTGCAATCAGTGGAGAATACCTTGCAATTTTTTTTGATCATTTCGTATGTCCTTCAAGTATATTAAATATCATTTATATTAAAAATAAGATTGCGTCTCCGTAGTTTGGTATCCTCCCATAAGGATGCAAACATCACTGTTTAAAAGAAGAAAAAAAAAAACTTTGTAAAACGACGTGCGTTTTTTGTTGGGGATCTTTCTTCACCCCCTACAGATCTCAGCAGTAACAATCAACAGAGGAACGTTGCGCTTTCATGCGGGCTCAGCCGTCACCGTGGCGGGACACGAACCTCGGAGTCCCCGAGGGCTCCCGCGAGCTCTGGGCGCTCCTCGCGCCGCTGACTCCCGGGAGGAGCCGTCCGAGCGGCGGGAGGGTTCGTGCCCCCGCGCCGCAGGGAAACGCGACAGGCGCCGGGTCTTCCGGGGCTCCGGGGACAAAGCACTGGGGCTGCAGCAGGTGGTAAGGCCAGAAAAGAAAACACATTTAAAAGGCTAAAAACAAGCAAACAAAGAACGGAAAGAAAAAGAAACTTCCCCTTAACGCTGCATTTGACTCCAGAGCCTGCCCAGATGGAGCTAAAAAGTCACCGCGCAGAACCGTGAAACCAACTGCTTCGTTCTCCTGGGGAACAGAGCGAGTGACGTGGGAACCTACCTGGCCCTTCCTCGCTTCGCCGTGCTAGCTTGTTCCTTGTACTGGACCCGCGTCCTCTAAAAACCACCCAGATAATCGAACTACCAAGCCCCCGCCTTCGGTTTCCCCCTCCCTGTTACAGGGACTTCTCACCCGACTGTCTGTAGGAGAAAGATTCAGGGAATACCAGGGACGAGGACAGTTGAAAATACCACCTTGTACCTTGGGACCCGCCCATACAATCTCGACGACCTGGCAGGAAGTAGGTATTTTGTCCAAATTCGTAGTTTTAGAGACCAACTTTAACTCAGGGATGCTCCTAGTCCCACCTTTGCCTGCGATGTCGCTGAAACCGGGGCCAGCTTTTCTCGGACTCCACAGAACCCATCTTTTTTTTTTTATTAGTGAGACACCATGAGGTACAGTTGTCACTGGGTTTCAATTATACAATGATCAAATACCCATCCCTCCACCAGTGCCCATTTCCCACTACCATGGATCCCAGTATCCCTCCCACCCCCCATCCCCCTCATCCCACCCTGCATCTGTGGCAGGGCATTCCCCTCTGTTCTCTCTCTCCTTTTGGGTGTTGTGGTTTGCAAAAGAGGCACTGAGAACCAACCCTTCTTTTTTAACTTCACTATGTGTACCATAAGAATATTGTGACAGTCTGCTTGTATCTTGATAAGATATGGATTTGGTAGCAGCTTTGAACTTCCTAGCAGATAATCCAAAAAATCAAAAAATAAACAAAAAAAAAAGTGTGGAGAGAAGGTGGTTTTTCTCAAGCTTTTCTTGTGATCAAGCTTGGATGCTTTGGGAGTTCACAAACATTTTTTGAGTGGGTGGTATTGTTCGATTTAATTTGGACTAAACCATTAGACTGCTTGGCTATCTATCTACATTAAATTTGGGCTGGAGAAATAGTTCAACCGGCAGGGTGCTGGCTCTTTGCACATGGGTGAACCAGGTATAATCCCCAGCATCTGACATGGTCCCCAGAGCACTGTCAAGGACTGATCCATGAGTTCAGAGCCAAAAGTAAGCCCTGAATAAAACCAGGTGTAGCCAAAAAGCCAAAAACAAACAAACAGACAGACAAAAACGCAGGTTCTTGGTAATCTTCCCCTACCCCTCCAATGCTGCTTCCAGGTCACTTTTAGAGAAACCCAGGAACTTCTTTCTTTCCCTTTCTATAGACTTGGGCCTGCCCTGGAATCTGCAAGGTTCCAGCCAGGTCACATCTCCCAGAGAAAAGTAAGGGCTTCTATTTTCTCACTCCTGTGCCCTTCAGGGCTTCATGACTATCGATGCTGACTTTTCAGACATGGCAAATGAGCTCTGCTCAAAAGTAAAATATTGCCTGACTTTGCCCTAACCCAAAATGAAGTTTGTTTCCAGTGTCCTTTCAGTACATACTGTCCTTTTCTTGTGATCAAGCTCGGATGCTTTGAGAATTCATAAACATTTTCTTAGTGGGTAGTATTGTCAGAAATGCCTCCATGGAGTTCACAGCCCCAACCTTATCCTTTTTCACTTTGTTTCTTTCATTCTCTTTCACTAAACCCATGTGACTATTCTTCCTGACCTACAATAGCATTTAAAGTAATGTAAATCATGGGTTCTCAAATAAAATGAGCCAGTTACGTAAAGCTCTGTGCAGCAAGAGCTGGAAACCACGGCCTCAGCCTACTTTCACCTCTTACCCATTACACTTTGAGTAATCGTCAAGTTCCTTATGACCACTAGGACAGAAATGTGTGTCCAGTGTAAAACTATGACAATCAGAGAAAATGGTGAATTAAAATCTCATTGTCTATACCAGACTTGGGGGATGCTGAAAAAGAACAGAAGTCAGACAACCAAAAATAACATCACTAAAGGGATCAAAACAAAATTAAATCCTGCTTAGTCTTTGTTTGTTTTGGGGTCAAACCTGGCAAAGCTCAGGGGAATGTAAGCAGTGTTGGGGATGAAACCAGAGGCCATGGGCAAGGCAAATGCTCTAGTCACCATAGTCTCGCTCCAGTCCTAGAATCTGGTTTAGTCTTAACTAAAGTGGTATCATTTCACAAATCAGCAACCATGCACCTTTAAATAATTTTCACTTACTAAGAAATTATTTAATAGCTTGCTAGTTGAATAGGTCTTTTTAGAGCAGGTATGTCTTCAATGATTTTGTTCCACCATGCCTTGTACACAAGTGTTTAAACAATGCTTGTAACTCACATCTCATAAAAAATATATCAGCTCTATCTAAATCAAGACTTAAAAAATAGAAAAAAAAATGTAGAGTACTGGATAATCTGGTTTAAGTCAATTCACCAATCTGAATGGTTTTCCATAAGAGTGTGTTGACTTACTACCTATGAGAATAAGACTTTGACCATCCTATTTCTTGGGTTTCTTTGGTTAATCATTATTTATCTATGGATGGGTTCATTTTGGTTTGCCTTTGGAGGACAGAAATCCGTTCTTTAGCCATTACAGAGAAAAAGTCACTTTTCTGAGATAATAACAATGAAGTATGTGTGTTTTATAAAACACAAAGTCAAAGTTATTTGGTTTAAATTCTCCAAAGACTGCTGCTGTTCTCCCCCTCATAATAATCACTGTCACTGTCACTGTCCTCCCATTGTTTATCGATTTGCTCGAGCAGGCTCAGTAATGTCTCCATTTTGAGACTTGTTGTTACTGTGTTTGGCATATCGAATACATCACGGGTAGCTTGCCAGGCTTTGCGTTGTGGGCAAGATACTCTTGGTAGCTTGCCGGGCTCTCTGAGAGGGGCGGAGGAATCGAACCTGGGTTGGCCAGATCGACCACGTGCAAGGCAAACGCCCTACCCACTATGCTACTGCTCCAACTCTCATAATAATAGAACAAAAAAATAAAACATTCTTGCAAAGCCCAATACCAGTGGTATGGCCTACTTTTGAGGTATCATTATGATTTTTTCTTTTTAAAATTGGGTGAAACAGCCAATTTCATAATGCTCCTTTAAAAACACTGAGATCTTATCAGTGTAGGTATCACAAATGCCCAGGACAATGACGTTACTTAAAAATTACAATGTCAGAAATATTGACGTGCAAATTTCTAAAGTGGTGTGTTAAGTTTAGTTGGCAAAAACCACCTTTAGCTGTAAATAAGTTTAGTTTTATTTAGTCAGAGGGAGACTGACACAACTATCTTTATATTGTGTGTGGGATATAAAAAAAACATAATAAGGAAGTAATGCCCTAGGACATTAGACCCCGGGAACTGGTCTTCCATAAGATGTTTGCAATGTGAGACAGAGGAGAGAATAAAAAGACAATAGTGGAGGGAAGTGATGAATCAGGAGGAGGTGGGAGTGCTGAAAGGTTGTAAAGTGTTATGCGTGAAGTCCTATCAGTAAAAGTATTGCAAATCACAGTGCCCAAAAGTTAGTCAAAAAAGTTCCTCTCATAGGGGCAGGCTGGTGGGTAGGGAGGAAAACTGGGAAAATTGATGGAGGGAAGTAGAAATTGGAAAAGGGATTAGTGTTGAAACATTGTATGTCTGAAGCCTAATCATAAATAATCTCTAACTCATGGTGACAGAATAATAATGATAATAAAAAGTTTAGTCTTTCACGTAGAAACCAGATACTGAACTATAAAGGAAAAAGTCCTACTGCTCAAAAATACCAATTTAAATGGAAGATTACAAAAATTTTCATAGATCTTCAATGAAAAAATTGGTTGCACAAGCGTTTCAATTAGCACTGTAGCACTGTCCTCCTGTTGTTCATCGATTTGTTTGAGAGGGCCCAGTAACGTCTCCGTTAGGAGACTTGTTGTTACTGTGTTTGGCAAATCGAATACGTCGCAGGTAGCTTGCCAGGCTTTGCTGTGAGGGCGAGATACTCTCGGTAGGTTGCCGGGCTCTCCGAGAGGGGCAGAGGAATCGAACTCAGGTCCAAGTTGGCTGCGTGCAAGGCAAACGCCCTACCGCTGTGCTATTGCTCCAGCCCCTG